AACGAAAATTTTTGAAATGATAGACAGTTTACCAACGTAAAACGCGAGCATGGTTGTTGGGAATTTTTGGAAGCATGGCATTTTGTTTTTAGGTTGGCTAAAAATTTTTTAATATGGTCGGCCCAGTCGACAGGCCCGAGTAATTTTGTCAGCTGGGTCGGCCCAAGCGTTTGGCATCAGCCGTATCACTATCCCTAACAATATGACCCATTTGTAAAATCGTATAGCAATAATAAATTTAATCCAAGCAATAATGTTAATTACATTATTAAAGTTCTTTTACATAAAAAAAAACAAATTTTTTACATAAAAAAATTTAAAAATTTATAGTAAAATTTAGATATATTAGAAAAAAAGCTTTAAATAAAAAAAAATCGCATAATAAAAAATGAGCAACACAAATAAATAATAATAAATTCGCATAATTAATAACAAATACACAATACAAATAAAATAAAATGCAATAAAAAATTCGTACTGTGGGGTGAAGAAGCTTTTGAGAAAGCTCGAAACGAAAATAAATTAATTTTTCTTATATCCTAAATTATTATATTTTATATGTTTTGAACTGTTCTAATTTTTTTATTTTGTTCATATCATAATTTATTTTATACTGGGAATTACAAGTTGGTGTCATGTTATGGTATGGCATTATTATACACATGTTTAAAGTCTGAATTTTTGTAAGCATATTTATTTTTACACAAATATTGAATTTTAGGCTCATAAATTGTTTGAAAATGAGGCTATTGCAAAGATAATGAACGAGCATTTTGTGAATGTAAAAGGTAATGCTATGATTTAATAATATCATAACAATATAAAATTAGCATGTGGCATTGGTTAATTATTATTGTATTTAATTTGCTATATTGGATGTGCTTGTACAGTGGACAGGTACTATATTTAATATACCTTCATAAGTTTTTTAAATCCTACCTTATGTTCTCATGTTCACATAACTTGCTTCAACAGGGAAACTCAATCTGATGTTAATCGTATGTACATGGTATGTACGTGGTATGACTAGTGATGTGCCGCGTACAGTACTATATGTACTGTACGTACGTACTGTACGTACTGTACGTGAGAATTTTGTCGATCATTTTATATGTAGTCTGTTTTATTTGCTAATTAGCCAATCAAAATTAAGGGAATTTCTATTCTGACCCGGGTAAAAGGACTTCCCCTGCGGCATCCACAAAATTTTTCCAGGCATGTGATAATTGTTACACAGTACTACCAGGTATTTGTGTAAGAGGGATGACAATGATCGTAATGATGACAGATAAAGGTAATAAGAGCTTATTTTGAAGTGATCGGAGTTCTAATGTTGCATGAATAAGACTATAAATAAATAACCAAATAGGTAGTTCGATCAAATTTTTTTTTTGCTTCATTTTCTTGGGTAAACTTATACTATACATAAGAAATATTGGGTCGCTCTATTTTGTGAAGTGTCGTGTGCTGATAGAAAAGCTGTCGTGTGGAAAGTTGGGAGGTTGTTAGGCTGGTGTTGAAAGGTGGTGTGTGTAGAAAGGAGTTGTTAATGTAGGTGTGAGTGGGTGTGAGAAAATAAAACATAGCGAAAGAACATAGTAAGCACGAAAGTAATTAATAATGAACTTTTAATGAATTTTGATGACAAGCATTTATTAATCAAACATTATTATAATACGTCTTGTTTTAGTTGGCTTGGATGATTAAATATCTTACATTTGATTTTTCTTGGATAATTAAACGTAATTAACACGACTTATAACAATTTCTTTGAGATAATTAAATTTACACAACCATATTTGATCTTTTTGGACATTGTCATTTCAAAAAAAAAAATAAAAAATAAAAAAAAATAAAAAAATAAATTTAGTAAGTATTAAAGCTAAGAGCAGAATTCTTTATCAATGCATTATGTTTTCTAAAAAACTTTTATTGAAAAAAAAAATCCAACACTTCCTTTATATCGAACTTCGTGCTTTTATAGAAAAAGCAAGGCAAACAATAGAAATGGAACTTGTCGAAACACAAGACTTATATTGTACTACATGTGATAAATACAAAGACAGGGTTGAATTTAAAGATCATAATAAGAAAAAAGAATCTAAGTTGCCCTGAACTTGTAATTTATGTTATGATTCAAAGAAATCTACCCGACAAAAAAAACATAAAAGTGAACAGTTTTTGATTGAAGATCAGGATCAGGATGAGGATGTGGTGTATGAACATGTAGAAATTGATAGTCTAGTTGAAAGTGTAGTTTATGCACTTAATGAGTATCATGATCCATTAAATAAAGAAAATACTTTGGCATTTTGTTTTGGATGCATTACAGATGTTGGATTATTAGAAATGTTATTAAAACAAATTGCCAATTTATTAATTGATCATATTGAAGACACAGATAATTATAAATGGATGTATGTATTATATTTATTTTTTTACATAATATATATTCTTTTTACTAAGCTAATTTATGTTATAAAGTTATAAACAGGTGTATGAGGGTAAAAGTGTGACGACATATCATTATTTTTGTTCACAATGAACAAATTTATTCCAACAAACACGTTTTAGAAAAAATCAAGATGTTTCAAAACATCGAGATACAAAATCTATGGAGCGATACGATTGTAATGGAATGATCAGAATATCTATTAATCATACAACATTAATGGCAACAATTTATATAAGACATCATTTGTTACATCCATATCCAAAAGATGTTTCAATATCCGATGACATTAAGCAATTTATTATGAACAACATAGACCTTTTGCCTCGTGAAATTTATGCTCAATTAGTAGAAAATGGGCTAGATTTATCGATTACCTCAAAACAAATTCATACCTAGTGGGTAAAGTTGGGACAAGGTCGATACAGATAACATGATGATTCTTTTATCTCAGCAGTCGAATACTTAAAAAAGAAAAATCATAAAATAATCCTGAATCAACAATTTCCTGTTCATGCAATTGCATTTACGACTGGAATCTATGATGAGCTTCAAAAATCAAATATAAGAATCCATGAATGTGGCATTGATGCCACTTGTAAGTAATTTTAACAATATTCAATTTTATATTTTTCTAATCCTAATCAAGGTATCTTTTCTAATTATTCCAATCTTCTAGGTTATGGTTACTAATAATACCTTTTATAATCGTAACCATGAAGACTAGAATATTTGGGCAAGATACCTCTAGAATATTACTTAATTTTAATCTTAGTTTACTAATTTTTTTATTTTTTATTTTTTATTTTTTATTTTTTATTTTTTATTTTTTATTTTTTTTGTAAATTTAATAGATAAAACTAATGACCTTGGTTTCGAATTATATACTTTTCATGCAGAAGTTAAAGGGACAGGATATCTTCTTTGTATTTACTTTTAGAAAATAATGGAAATTGCAAGGATGGAGGTCATACCAGTATTATTCAAGCTTTTTTTGCTCAAATGCACTATATTGGAATTTCTCCCAGTTTTTTATTAAGTGATAAGGACTTTTCACAAATAAGTGCTGCTTCTTTTATTTGGCCGGAAACTAAAATTCAAATCTGTAAATGGCACATCAAAAAAGCAGTTATGGAAAGGTTGCATAGTAACAAATCTCCAAGACACTCCTTTAATCCGTTATCACCTGAAGGCAAACGATTCCAATTTAACAATATTACACCGTCACAAACCTTTTGCCCAAAAGAACTTCAGGATTCTGTGTGGAATTTAATGGAAAAGCACCTACACCAACATCCATATATTCTAACAGCAAATGGACAATTTTTTACTATGATAGAAATTTATGAATTTGCAATCGAAGAGGTGTACAAGTTTTGTAGAGAAAATTCGTTAGTAGCACTTTGGTGCTACTTGTGGTATGAATGGTACAATGATAGAAGATGGCACCTTTGGGCTCAATCGGCTTGTATAAATAAAATTCCAATTCTTAAGACTACAATGTTTATCGAGAGACATGGAAGATAATAAAGAGGGATTTTTTGTATAAGTTTTTTAGACCGAGATTGGATCTTTTAGTATTTATTTTAACAACCAAAGTAATTGTTCATCAAAAGCATAAGTTTCAGCAAATTCAGATCGAACGTGAAAAACCAGATTGGAAAAAACAATTAAAGTCTCAATGGAAAATATTGCAAGCACATGAGATTAATGGCGAATATTTCACTAACGTAAATCAATGGGTTTGCAGATGCTCATTTTATTTAATTAATCGGTTCCCTCTTTACAAATATTTGATACAACGAAAAGGAGCTGCTTTACCCGATTTTTTTGATAAAATGCAGAGAAATCATCAACCGTCTTTTTTATATGAACCCGAACAAACTTTAAATCAATATAATGTTAATAATTTGAACACTTACTCAAATAATTTAACAATTGCAGATCAATTTGAACCAGAGTTAAATGATTGCAATGATCTTTATGATAAATTAATCGCTTCAACAAAAAAGACTCTTGAATTACTTGAAGAACAGAAGACAGCAGGTAATTTTAGGTGAGGGAAAAGCATTATGAAAAATTTTAATCCAATTATAAAAATGGTGAGTGATATAGAATCTTATAAAAAAAGGAGGGTAATGCCTTTAATGCAAAAGTATCATAATCACAATACTCTCTTTTTTTTCAATTAGTTTTCTAATTTGCATTTAATATGCTTTATTTGCTTTAATTTGCATTTATTTGTTTAAATTTGTATTCAATT